GTCAGGAACCGACCTGGATCCTAGGTCGACGCCCAGCCGCTGAGCCACACCTGGCCGAGCCCGCAGAATAAATCTTGAGAGCTATACTATCTTGACACTTCACCCAGCATCTAGTGCTAGGCCCTGTAAATAGTAAATGCTGACTGAATAGGAAATGAATCTTGGTAATTGAGGATTAGGATTTTTACATGGAGAAGGAGTGTTTCTAAAGTGGGATTCATTTAAAGTGGTATTAGTTGAAAAGCTGCTGGTCATCAGCTATGAACAAATGCTGAGCTACTTTAACTAGAATAGTTGTTTCTCTTAATTTTCACTTTGATTTTTCCTGATGTTGGGAACCTGTAATGTGTTAGTGTGTGTTTTAGCTCTTCCATTTAGGCATTCGTAGGGCAGCTGGTTTACTTTGCTGTCATAGCTTAAGTTGTACACTACATCCACAAAACCTTATTGGATTCCAGTCTATTGCATTGGTGAAAATTTAATTTGTATGGTTATATTTTACTTCTCATTTCAGTATAATTGAGCAAAGATGAAGATATGGTTGTCTTTGCCGTTTGTTTAGCATCTAACTTAATTTACCAAAAGGTAACAAGTTTAACTGAACATTAGGATTGTTTCTATAATCAGTATCTTAGGGGGACCATGAGAGTAACTATGTTTGTTTTTTTTTAATTAAAATAATTTTTCAAGTACAGTTGACATACAATATTATATTAGTTTCCAGTGTACAACATAGTGATTAGACATTTATATAACTTATGAAGTGATCACCCTGGTAATTCTAGTAACTATAATTTTTTTGGTGGTGTATATTTTCATCTTGATATAATAACGTAGCTGATAGTTTCTGTAAATCTAGATTCAGGTTGATTATATGGTACTCTTATAGCAAAATAAGTTGAACCTATTTCTAGAAAGGAAAAATGAAAAATTTTGCCCACAATTAATAGTTGAAATTATCAAAGTAGTTTGTGATCTTTTAAAAAAAAATCAACAAAACTTTTTATTTTATAGATATACATGCATTCTTAAGAAATAATACACAGAGATCCTATATACCCTTTACTCAGTTTTTCACTGAGTAATGTCCTATAAAACTATATCCAGTGTCAGCCAGGATATCAGTGTAGATATAACCTGTCAGTCGTAGTTATGATTGTGATTTAACGTAGTGTTAGTTTTCAGCATGGATACTTGACATCGAGTGAATATAATGAACGCAGTCCAAATTATTTCTGCGTTTTGCTATAGTAAGTACTTAATGTTCTATTGAGTTGATTTATTTTTCCCTCTTTCAGACTTAAACCGTTGAAATACTATATACATGTTATTGCTTCACGTTACTAAAAACTAAAGTATAAAATAATTCTTATTTCTTTAGCCTGACTTGTTGAAACATATTCATTAATGAAACCAAATCAGAAATGTTTATTATTGTCCCTCAAACTGAAAGTTGTTGAAAGAAATTAAGAATTAAAGCTATCACGGTAGTTTGAGGAATAAAAATTGCAGAAAAGGCGGGATTTTTGTGCTTGTATGCTGTGCCCATGCACTGCATGTGGAAAATATCCTGCCTTATTTGTGAAAATTTACCCGTTCTGCCTCCAGGTGTTAAAATTCTCAGAATTGCAGCCTAGTAGAGCCCTTTCAGTTTTGATGAATATTGGATAAAAATTAGTTCTCATCTGGAAAGAAAAATCTGTCACAAGTTTCTTCACCTTTATTCATCTCACCTTACTTAATACACGTATTAAATGGAGGTGATGTTATTTACTTAAAAGCCTGATGATTAAGAAACTGCTTTTCTCAAAATTGTATGTATCCCAGTAAAATTATTTGAATTGAGGAGCATTTACTGTTTTTACATTTCTTCAGTTTTACAGACAAACTAATGTGATCACCGTAGAGNGAATTGAGGAGCATTTACTGTTTTTACATTTCTTCAGTTTTACAAACTAATGTGATCACCGTAGAGGTTCATCCCTGGGTTTCCTCTGCCTCCCTCTCTTCAGCCAGTTTCTTCCTCTGAGCATCAGGTGATTCTTGGTGTCTCTGAGATTCTCTCCTCAGCCCCATTCTTACTTGAAATCCTCTCTTTTGGGTGGCCCCACCCATCATTGCCTAATTTTCTAGTTTATATTTGTGTCCCAGATCTCATTTAAGGTTGGCCTCTAGACTTTTTCACTTGAAATTAACAAGTCGAAGGCAGAACTCATCGCCCACCCCCACACTGCCATCGCCTCACTAGATTCTAAACATCTTGAGTGCAGAGATGTTTGTGGGGGGTTTTTGTCTATTAGCTCTTGCGAACAAATAAATGAATGGTTCTAAAGCCAAATGTCTGAGAGACAAAACTTGATTCCTCTCTTTCCATCATTTCTCCGTCTGGTCCATTCCCAAGTCCCATCAGTGTTGCTTCCTTAGTTGTTCTGAACCTGCCTATTTCTTTCAAGCCCACCTTCACTGCCTCTGTTGGGGCCGCTACCCTCTTCTACCTGGATTACTTCAGCAGCATCCTTGTCGTGTCCTTGTCTCAAGCCTTGAACCCTCTGCAGCCTTTTTCCCCTCGACAGTCAGAAGGCTTGTTCTGAAAACTCCGTAGCCTGGCTCCCTGGTCCTAGCAGGACGAGCAGCTTTTGTACCTGTGATCACAGGACCTCAGACATTCTCTTTTCGGGGGGCGGTGCGTCAGGAGTTTGCGTGATAGAATGAGATATGGCTTTGGAAACTAGCTCTGCTGATTACTAACTATGACTTAGAACAAATCAGATCACTAAGCCTCTTTAACAGGGATCATGCCCAAATCGGTAAGATGCGCAGGAGCACAGAGAGCGCCCAGCACCCGTGAACACGCTACAGGGTTACCCTGTTCCGATCCCATGAATTCCTCCATAAGATGGGTGGACCAGAGTTCCTGATTAGAACAACGTTCCCCTGTGAGCATCTTAAAACCTAAGCCCGACAGACAGGTTTGTTCACAAAAAAGTAAAGCTGAGAATCTGTAGTTATGCTCTTAATCACTGGTTGCTAGAATCTCTCTGGGCTTTCTCGTTTAAAAAGTGAGAGCAGTGGGCCAGGCGATCTCTGTCCTTCCCTCACATTTATGACATAATTAAGGGACAATGACATAATTAAAGAAATTGAAAAAACAAGCCCCAGTAATTCCAGTACCCTAATTTACTAACTGATCACTGTTTTGTTTCCTTCAGGTCTTTGTTTTTTCGTCCACGAATATTTTTAGTTCTTACAGATAAAGTCCGTTCTGCTTTATTCCAGATGCATGCAGCCTTTCCGATGCTGCTGCAGTGCCGTTAGCTCAGGGGTGCATAGTATTCTGCGTGCTCTTCAGGGTTATGAGCCTTTGTTTACTTGGCCGTTTTTCTCTTTTTAAACATTTACATATTATTCTTCAGCTTTAATTTCTGTTCTCTAGTTAGAGTTCTAGACTTTCGCACAGGAAATTCACAATCACCTAAAATAGTACAGAAATAAAAACTAAGTAACAATTTGTAGCCCAACAGCTGGCGGACATTTATGATACGGCATACTTATTAGCCAGATCAGGAAAGGGCTGCCCACAGTACTACTGATGATCTGAATTGTAACCTCCTGGGCTAGGGTCAGATGTTAGTGTTTTTAAAAAAGCTCCAAGTGGCCCTCCCAGCATGTCTCAGCGGTTGAGCATCGACCTATGACCCAGGAGATTGTGGTTCGATTCCCAGTCAGGGCACATGCCTGGGTTGTGAGCTCGATCCCCAGTAGGGGGCGTGCAGGAGGCAGCTGATCAATGATTGTCTTATCATTGATGTTCTCTCCCTCTCCCTTCCTCTCTCTGAAATCAGTAAAGACATATATATATATATATTTTAATAAAGACATATTTTTAAAAAATAAAAAAAAATTAAAAAGCTCCAGGTATTGATGGTCAGGTTGATCTGCTGAATTCAAGTTAAGTTTTGGTCAGAAGATTCTTGCTACCTTAAATTCATGAATTATACAACTCTTAGTAACGACCTCAATTTTTTTATTGCACCCAATACACACCTGTTGTAGAGAAAAGCTTTCTATACCACCACCATCCCTCTTGTGTTCTCTCCACCCCCCAAGCCTCCTAGCCTATCCACTAAGATAGGTTTATGTATATACTCCAGGGCTTTATATGCATATATACATAACACCATACAGTAGCAACAACTTTCAAACACCCTAATAGTCACCAAGTATGTATTTAAAGTCATTTAAAGGTTTAAAGGGAAGTTTGAAATATGTATGATATCACTAATTATGGAATCTGAAAAGAACAAAGTCATAGAAACAGAGTAGAGTGGTGGTTACCAGGGGCTGGGGCTGGGGGAACTGGGGAGATGTTGCTTAAAGGGTACAACTTCCAGTTTTAAAATTAACAAATTTGGGGATCTAATGTACAGCATAGTGTTTATAGCTATTAAAACTTTATCATGTACTTGAATGTTGCTAAGAGAGTAGATCTTAAAAGTTCTTACTACAAAAAAGAAATGGTAACTATGTGAGTGGATGGAGATGGTAGCTAATACTATGGTGGTAGTCATTTTACAGTTTATAAATATATCAGGTCAACGAGTTGTGCACCTTAAACTTGTACAATGTCAAGTGTTAGTTATATCTCAATAAAGCTGAAAAAATAATTTAAAAAAATAATGGTAAGTTTGTAGAATAACTTTCTGACTAAGCTTTAAATGTTTAATAACCAAAAATCAAATCAAAATGTAAACATAAAATGTTCTATCTATAATACAATACTACCCTCCATAATTTCTCTGCGTAATTGTTTATACTGAATTATGTAGCCTAAAGTTACTTTCGCACTATTTTTCTAAAGTGATATTCATGTTTTATTTAATTATATACTGAGCAGTATTCACTTCAATTTTTATAGGCCTGTTAGCTCTAAACATGTTTAAAAAGTAGATACTTGCCAATAGCTTTATTCCTTCTAACAAAGACAACTTTTTTTTTCTTAGCAAGGTCAGCATTGGACACAGCTGCACGATGTAAGTATTTCATCCCCATAATTTGCAGATGGTTTATTCTAGTTTTTTTCTCAGACATATGAGAACTTATATTCGAACAGTGGAGATAGTTCAGTGTGAGCAAAAACTGATTTGAAATTGCTTTCTGAAGTTACAAGGATGCTATTTGGATAGCTCAATATTCTTGGTATTTACTCATGAGTATTTTGTTTCATTAGTGTTTCTAGCTTCAGTATTATAAGTACAGAAAGTGTTTAAATGCAGAACTAGTATGTGGGCAGGTTATTCAGTAATGCATTAGGCTTTTTAGTTTGTAAGCATTTGTTGTGCATTTATACACTGAAAATTCAAAGTAACAATTCAATACCTACTGCTCCATCCTGAATTTAAAACATAAACTTAAAAATAATTAGATAAAATATATTTACCCTCATCAAGATCATATTATTTGATTCATTCATGTCAATTATTAGCTTGCTTCTTCAGTGCTTTTGTTGTTTGTTTTGAGGCTCTTGGAAACCCCCAGAGGCGAGGGGGAAATCCTAGCATATGTTTTAAGATAAGTATATCGTGGTGATTTACATAATTTCTTTGTGGTTTGAAATTTGAAACAAACTGATTGTAGAGCCTGTTAACATTGTTTTCTTTAAAAAAAACTATTTTCTTTTCCAAAGCTACAAAACCTCCCAGGTATAAATGTGGGATCTCAAAAGCTTGCCCTGAGAAGCATTTTGCTTTTAAAATGGCAAGTGGAGCAGCCAATGTGGTGGGGCCCAAAATCTGCCTAGAAGACAATGTGTAAGTGTTTATCCATTTGGAAGTATAAGACGTGCTGTAAAATTATAGCAAATTGAACCCGAGTTTAATGGATCTTTTGAAAATATATTGAGCATACTTTTACTAAAGAAAAGTGATTTTTATCACAGTTTTTTCCCCATGCCTTTAAGAAATCTTAAAAGTTCCTTAAATTTCATATTGGAGAGCTACATAAGAACAGAGTATTTATCCACTTTCGTGGAGGGATGAGGGGTTTCCTGAGTGAATTCTCTAGATCTGTCCTGTTCCGTATTAGAGCTATACACCCATGTAGCTATTTAATTTTGATTCTTAAATCATATGAAAATGTTAATTCACTTAAATCAATTAAAATTAAAAGTTCAGTTCCTCAGTCACATTGGCAACACTTTAAGTAGCCACATATGGCCTGTGCCTACCGACTTGAGCAGCACAGAGACTATTTCCGTCACTGCAAAGTGCTATTTCAATTTGTGTTAGTAAGAATGACGATTAACCTTTATAGATTTAAAATCTTCAGTTGTAGTTTTCCCAATTGGTTTTCAAAAATTGGTAATCTGCTGCCCTCTTGTGGGAAGCCCATGTCATAGCGCTTCTTTGTTGCCTTTATTTCTCTGCTCTGTGGTGGCATCCTACTCAGATGATCTCTACTTGGAGAAGACTCTGTGACAGTTATTAATGTAACAAGTTAATCACAGCTATTTCCTATTAATATTAATAATAGAGTTTACTAATATATTTCTGAGAGGAGGAGAGCAAATGCATTTTGAAATTTCCCTTCCCTTTTGTGTAGCGGAATCGTTTGGCCCACCTCAAAACTTTTTTGCACACACATAAAAAAGTTCTGTGCTTTATCACATGTAAATTTCAGAAAATGACAAGTGAAAATTTGAAGGTAGATATGCATCCAGTTGTGGTAGATAAATGCTACTAAGCTTTTAAAAATCAAATTTTTATACTTTTCTGTTTCCTAATACTTTTTAAATGGACATTGGAGTATTTTTTTAACTTTTTATTTTGAAATAATTATAGAAATCATAAGCAGTTGCAAAAATGGTGCAGAAAGGTCCAACATACTCTTCACCCAGTTTTCCCAATGTCCTTTCTTACATTATTATAGTACAATATCAGCACCAAAAAATTGGCATTTGTACAATGTGTGTGTTTAGTTTTCTGCCATTTTATCATATGCATAGATCCATGTAACCAACACAGTAGTTAAGGCACAGAATTATTTCGTCATCACAAAGATCTCTTACTGCCCTCTTATAAATCACCCATACTATCACTGACCTCTGCAACCATTAAACTGTTTATCATTTCTTGTCATTGTGATGTTTTGAGAATGTTATATAAATAGAACCATGCAACATGTGACCATTGAGGTTGGCTTTTTTCACTCTGCATAGTGCTCTTGAAATACTGGTGCGTGTTAATAATCTGCTCCCTTTTTAATGCTGAGCAGTAATCTGTGGTATGGATGTTCCACAGTTGGTTTATCCATCACCTGTTCTGTTCAGCCAAGCAGTTTCAGTTGTTTTCAGTGTTTGGCTATTAATAATAAAGCTGCTATGAATAGTCATATACAGGTTTTTATGTGGACATACACTTATTTTAAGTGCCCAGGAATTCTGGGCTGTATGGTAAATGAATGTTTAATTTTGTAAGAAACTTTCAAATATTTTCCAGAGTGAGTGCACCATTTTAAATTCTCACCAGCACATATGAGAGAGACAATTTCTTTGTATTTTGCCAGCATTTGATATTGTCATTTTAAAATTTTATTTTAGCTGTTCTAATAGATATGTAGTGTGATATCTCAATTACTTTTCTTATGGCTAGTCATGTTGAACATCTTTTAATGTTTTTTTGCCACCTGTATATCCCCTTCAGTGAAATATCTATTCATATCTGTTTTACATTTTGTTTGGATTGTTTGGTGTTTTGCTGCTGAGTTTTGAGGGTTAGAACTTCACTCATTCATAATTCGCAACCATAGGTTAACTACAGATATGAGATCTGTGAAAATCAGCTAGCACACTTGGTGAGAATCAATTGGCTATGTGGAATTTACAATAAAGTATTGTAGGTTTCATTATTTGTGAAATTATGTTCCACACGTACTTTATATCAGTAAAATTTACAATAAATTTATGTACCTATATATGTACATGTAAAGGTGTAAATATCTGGTAACGTGTGTGTGTTCATATTTGTATACTCCCCTTCACCCCCTCAGACTAATTGATAAACAGTGAACAGCACACCACTGGGAGTATCACCTGTTTTTATTTGAGCTGCCAGTGGGTGCTGTTCCCTTAGGTACGACCGTAAGTGACTGTGGTTAGGTGCAGTCACTGTGTGAATGCAGCATTACTGCTTCTGAGCATAGAGAAGCTTTACACTGATAACACTGAGAGCGTGTTCACAGGCGAAACACTCCTGAAAGAGTGCTCCCCACTCTTCTTGCTCTATTGTGAAAGATTTGGGGAACATCTCACTTCTGTTTCCATGTCACATTTGATATTGCAGAAAGTGTGAAAGAGTGTGTATAATATGTGCATAATGTCCATCCACAAGTTGTAAGGATTTTCTAACACGGGATTTCAGAATCTGCATAGAGCAGCAAGATATAGTCTAGCATTTTGCTCTAATATTTGTTAATATATATTTCTATTTGTGAAATCTTATTTAAGGACATTGTTTTAAAAGTATTAGGCTGTTTTCTCTGACTTAGTAGAGACCTTTAAATCTCCTCTGTAGGACTAAAGGTTTGTACATAGATAATACCCCAACCTTTTTTGTTTTTGCATGATTTTATTATTTAATATATGTTTGCACAATATATAATTCTAAATTTGTCCTTTCCCCTTCAGTTTAATGAGTGGTGTTAAGAATAATGTTGGAAGAGGGATCAATGTTGCCTTGGTAAATGGTAAGAATAATTATGTTAGTGTATGGATGTATTCAGTGGGTATTCATATGTTCCAAAGTAAAACATACTCTAATATCAAGGGACTGGATCAGAAAGTGCCACTTGTGACACTAAAGCCCTACCCCCTTCCTCACTGCCCTCTAAAAATATCCAGCTCTAGGTGGAGACTTTGTATCTGAGTCTTTACAACATGCTTTCTTGGAAGCATCCAGCTTCTTTGGCAGCCTGTAGAGTGCTTCCCATGGGATTGTCAGGATGCAGCCAATCTAATGTGAAATCAGTGAATTCTTGCTGCAAATGTTGGCATCGTAACGTGAAGATAGATTGACATGAATGAGGGAATAAAAGACAAAGGGTGATGGCTATTTGATGGGCTTGGGGTGGGGGAGGAATGAAGAGTAAGAAATAATTGTAATTTTCCAGTATTTTTCCACATTCACTTGGCAAGTTCATTATAATAAAAAAGTTTTTTGAACCCTGAACATTTTGAGTGTTCTTGCAAAATCAAATCTGAAAATATACATCCGTGAAGTGAGGCCTGACTGTATGCTGGTCTCATCTTTCTGGTATAATTATAACCTGTAAAGCTGTATAGTGTGATTAAAGCCACAGCCACTTTACCCAAAGTCCATAACATAGGAAAACATTTTTTATTTCCTTCACAACGAGGTAAATTTTTGTGTTTCTTTTTTTTCTTCAGGTTCTTAGGTAAAAGGTTCCATACCTATTCATCTATTTAATTTTTAATAAAAAATAGATTTTAAAGGGGAAATAAATGTACATTTTATAAAAAAGTGTTTAAAATGTCTAACTTTGAATTGGAATTGTCTGCAGTCTGTTGTGAATTTCTGTTTGCTGCTCTTTGGCTTAGAAGACTATTGAGAAAGTCCTATCTAAAAATTACCCTTTAGAAATATAATTCAGATGCCTAAAGTTCAGATTTTCAGTCTTTCTCAAAATAATTTACATCAGTCATTGACTAAGAATATTTGTTTTATACAGCATAGAGTATATTGCAGTTGCATAATTTGATATGAATTCAATCTCTTTTAGGAAAAACAGGAGAAGTATTAGACACTAAATATTTTGACATGTGGGGAGGAGGTAAGTTTGAGTAACAAGTAACCATTCTGTTGCTAGCACAGCCTTCTTAATCACCTCAATACAGTGTAGACCATTAATGAGAGCATAATGGCACCATTTTTAAAAAAATCCTCACCTGACAATATGTTCCCACTGATTTTTAGAGATAGAGGAAGGGAGGGAAGGAGGGTTGAAGAGAGAAGGAGGGAGAGGGAAACATTGATGTCACATCTGTTGCCTCCCCTATGATCCCTGACCGGGAATCAAACCCACAACCCTTTGGTGCACAGGACGGTGCTCCAACCAACTGAGCAACCTGGCCAGGGCCATAATGGCCTCATTTTTGTGTTCATTTTGTTTCTCTTTTCACTAAATATTCAGTTTTATATAAGTGATCAGTCATATTGTATATAGTTTTTTAATTAAAATTTTTCGTGGTGTATAATCAAGAATAATGATATAAAAATTGAGATTTAAAAAAATCTGAGTTCTATTTTCTGCAGGACAGCTCATTCAAAGCTTTGGGCTCCTTTAGGTTTCTGTCTGAAATTATAAAAACAGAGTAAGTAATTTGAAGATGGACATAACCAAGCATTTTGAACTGACTGAACTGATTTTTTTCCCATAGGATTTTTTGTCTCAAAAATAAATCATAACCAGGATTATTATTAAAGTAGATGGATATCTGAGAGAAGGAATAGAATTTTCTGTCTAGTTCCTTGGACAGATATCTTTCTTATTTGGAAGACCCTTGAGGAGCAGGTGGGAGTCACTCACCAGCATGCAGAGACAAGGAACTGGTACCTTGATGAAGAATGCTGCCCCCTAAACCCCTAGAAAATAGATTTCTTCCTCAGCTTTGAAGGAAGACCAACACTGATTTACCTCTGGACCCTTCCCTGAGTGTTGGTGTGGGAAGTTCATCAGCATGAGGCTGCTCTTCTGCTCCTCGCCATCCATCCTTTAGCATACGGCCAAGAAGCCAGAGCAGTAGGCTTCCTGAAATGTGTTCAGGTTCAGACAGTTCAGCTTTTCTAATATTTCTTTAGCTTTAACAAGATCCTACTCATTATTTGTTTTTAAATTGCTTAGAAGAACTATTAATAACTGTCAAAACTGTGTAAGCTTAAAATGCTACCATCAGTGTTAGATTCTAAACCACAATTGGTCTTACATGAATTATTACATAGAAGCACTCTAGCAAAATGTTGTTGAAATCAGTCATGCGACCAGAAGCGCTGGTGTGTCTTCACAGGTGGATTCATTACTGCTGAAAATACTCCTCCAGTTAAGAAATAGTTGCAGTTTACTGCCATTTTCACATTTAAATGGAAATGATTTGTTAGCTGTTCTACATATTTTTGGAGTCGAAAATGCTATTATAAAATAGTCAGCTGGAGAAAATCTTAGAAATCTTTGCTATGGAAAAAAACTGAGTAAATTTGAAGTAACCCAACCTAAATTCTTTCCATTAGTTTATAGTAAGCAGATATGCTCAAAAGATCCTTTAAATTTGTGTGTGTGTGTATACATTTATATAATTTTTAAAAACTATAGATCCTTTTGTGAATTAATTAAAATTTGTGTATCCTCTTTTTAGAAAAGTACCACACACACAGATTTACGTACACCGAGGGAGTTCACGAGCCTTTCTCATGCTCCCCGAGTTCCTTACCTTTTTTTTGTTGTTGTTGTTGTTGTTGTTAACCCCCACCGAGAGTATTTTTCCCATTGATTTTTGTTGAGAATGGAAGGGAGGGAGGGGAAGAGAGAGAAACATTGATGTGAGAGAGACACATCGGTTGGTCAGGTACGTGCCCTTGACTGGGAATTGAACCCGTGACTTTTCAGTTCGCAGGCCGACGCCCTAACCACTGAGCCACACCAGCGAGTTTCTTGCTTTAAATCATAAGTAATGCTTTGACGTAACTTTACAATGGTTCTTTTCATTTAGCCCCCAGAATATCTGTACAAAAAGACACATATGATGAATCAGTACTGGAAATTTTAAGTTGATGGTGGGATCATATTAAGGAACAAACAATTTTTTAACATGTTCATAAGATTTATCTTTCTTTTGGTTACTCTACATTAGAACTTATTAATTTACAAATTTAATATTTTATACTATTAACTTTATAGATGATCATGATGGTTAGTCATTAAAAAACACACCTCAATCTTCTTTTTCTTCAGATGTGGCCCCATTTATTGAGTTTCTGAAGTCCATACAGGATGGAACAATAGTCCTAATGGGAACATATGATGATGGAGCAACCAAGTATGTAAACTTAAAAAGCTGTACAACTTTTTTGAGCTATATTTTATAATTAAGAGTAATACATTTTTATTGAAAAACATTCTAAATTAAAACAGAGTTCCAGATAAACTATTTACATTTTTTAGTTTGTTTCCCTCTATCTTTCTGTGTATTCATTACGCATATGTCATTGTGAAAGTAGGATCATGTTGTACATAAAGTTTATTCTGTTCTTCTATATTCTGCTTTTTAACAACTTCAAATTGTTTTCCCTGATATTAATATTCTTCGATAGCATTTTCATGGTTCATCCACAATTGGCCCACCTTTATTTAAAAGTTCCTTGTTGGAAGGACTGGGGTGGGGTGGGAGCCAGGTGGAGAAGGGCAACAGAGGGAAAATGTGGGGCATCTCTAATACTCTCAACAATAAAATAAATTTTTAAAAAAGAAGAGAAAAAGAAAAATAAATAAAAGTTCCCTGTTATTGCCAAGTTTTTTGAATTATAAATAATATTGTGATAAACATCCTTTTACATAATTTTTTTCACCTTTACTTATGTACTTAGGGAAAAGTCCCAAAGTGGAATTAATTGTAAAAGAATAAGTCTGATATATTTTTCATAAAGTTTAATAGATGGCAGTTTGGAACTTTTACTTAAAATTGTGTATGTTGGAAAATACAGAAATGCACAAAGAAGAAAACAAGATACAGTTCATCTCACTACTTAAAGATAACTATTGGTAATATTTTAGCTTCTCCAGATTTTTAATGCACATATTTTCTTTATCTTAAACATTTGGAATGGTAGCATTTTTTAATGTGAATATTTTCCCATATGATTACATATTTTTTGAAAATTGTTCATGTATCCCTAGTATAAGTTTTAAATCACAGGTCATGATTTAAAATCTCTTTCATAAAATACCTACTGCTAAACTTTTAGGCTCTTTCCAGTTTTCATATTTAGCAAAAATACACCATCTTAAGGTTTTTGAACACTTCATATTTCCTTAAGATAATGTTTTTTGAAGTAATGTTGAATTAACGGATGAACACAATTTTTAAAAAGGATTTTTAAAGTTTGGACTAATTTTATATGTCTTTCAGAAGTTCTATGACACTGATTACCAATTATTTTTTAATTGATTTCAGAGAGAGGAAGGGAGAAGAGAGAGAGAGAAACATCAATGATGAGAGTCATTGATCGGCTGCCTCCTGCACGCCCCCGACTGGGGATCGAGCCTGCAACGTGGGCATGTGCCCTGAGTGGGAAGTGAACCATGACCTCCTGCTTCATAGGTTGATGCTCAACCACTGAGACATGCCATCCGGGCTGATTGTTAATTTTTAAAAGTTTCCAATCCTAAAAGTTTTGGAAAAGAATCTTCTTAACATGCCTTTCTTTGGTGAGATAGGATTTTATTCCACAAGTATTTTTAGCTCTTTATCTTGTAAATAGTCTTTTGCCTATTCTGGTTGATTCTCATTGATTTGTAGGAGCCCTTTATATATTAAGGATATTTTGCACATTATTTGCTTTTAATTTTGTTAATTTATAGTGATTTTTGACTTTTAGAAGCTGAGACTGATTCTTATGTAGTCAAATCTGTGGATTTTCCTTTTTAGTTTTTCTACTTTCCTACTTAGGTGTTTTTCCATCTCCAAATTAGATATTAGTAGGTTTTTCTCTTCCAGTGATTTGACTGTTTTTGTGTGTTTTTAAAAATTCACAGATAACTTTCTAGTAGTGACTGTGATGCCCCTTCAGCGGAGGTAGAGGTATTCACAGAGCAGTTCCAAGGGAATCTGGCCCGGTTTGCGATGCTGTTTCAAATGTAGACTTGACTTTGTTTTTGGAAGTTCTGTTCATCTATTTATTCCTCCTTGAATAAGACACTATTTCAATTTTTTTAATAACTACTTTATAAAAATAAGTGTACTTAATACCTTTCTGGTGGGGTCAGCTCCCATTCAGTAGTCTTCTTTCTCAAAAAAAAATCTTCCCTATGATACTTTTTTCAGATGACTTTTATCAAGAATAAAATACATTTCTTATAGATTTTAGGTGAAAAGGCATTCAACTACAAGTTCCACACAGGAATATGTCATGTCTTTCTATTTATTGATTTTTTATACATTTATTTGATGCGTAGCTACATTATTGCCAATTTCCACTAAGAAAGAGTACCACTTTATGAATGTTTCTAAGCTGACATAGTTTCACTGACATTGTGCCTTTTACCGAGTTCAGCTAAAGATGTGTTAAATTTATAGTTAAAAGGTTAAGTAAAACTGTCATATTCAACCATTGCTATTTTCCTAGATAGACCTAAATAGAATGTAATAGGCTTTTCTTATAAAAAAACAGTTAACTTGCTACCTGCTTTTGCTGAGAGTTGAGGCTGTTACATGGATAATTTGAGATTTTAAAGTTTTTTTTAAAAAAGCCTTACTTTTCTGGATAGACTCGCATGACTTCCCCTTTTCACCAGGTTATTTCATTATTATACCTGATGAACATCAGACCTGCTCCCCTCCTGCTGATAAATTGTCAGCATCCCTGAGAAGGAAGGGGAGGAGTATGTTTCCTCTCGAGCTGATATTTATTGGTGGTCATTCATCGAATGCACCAAAAGCAGCCTCAGACCAGGGTTCAACCTATGAGGCAAAAGTAGAAATCTAAACGTTGATGTCTTTACACTTGGTCAACCTTTGTGCATTTATTGAATTCCTATTGTATGGGTTTCAGTTTGGGGCACTTATATAACAAGTATTTATATAGCAAGCATTTCCTCTTTCAAACACTGGTGAAATAAATGATAAACATCATGTCCCTTACGTGGAAATGGACAAACCTTCCTTATGAAGGCCGTCTGCGTCTTAAATATAACGAGATGTAACCACGTGTCTTGGCCGATGTCTGAACGTTTGAAGTGATTCACCAGTGGTGGTATGCCCAGTCTTATGTGGGAATGAAAAGCTCTTTTGCGCTATGGCTTTTCCTTACATAAGGCTGCTGGAGTCACGTCCTAAGGAATGATTTGTTCTCCTGTTTATCCCAAGAGGGTTGAGAGTATAAAGTGGATGTGCGTGCTCCCTCCAAGATGGGGAGTTGGTATGCATGCCGATTAGGGACAGCAGGACTCGCTTCTCTAGTTGTTCCTTTCTGATCCCAGTGTCTGCCGCACATAATGAGCCCCGCCCGGGCTGTACTCTGAACTTCAGCAGAATAACTGGGACTGGTCTCCAGCACAGCACTGCTCAAGGTGTATTCAGTGGAACCCCAATCCTTTAAAACTGTTATGATCAAATAAATTTTGGTATGACATCTAGTATTTTGTACTTTTTTTAGTGGCCTACAATAAAAGGCTCTGAAGTTCTGCCCTAAAGAAACCTCTTTACCTTTGTTTATCCCAGTGTTTCTAGATTTTAACCTGGAAGCACATTTTAAAAACAAAACAAAAAAAGCAACCTATATCCAAGAAAATTTACAGTTTAGGGAATACGAGTCTCAAATGATGCCTCCTTTCTACCTCATCCCCCTGTAAAATAAGTTGTTTTTTGTTTGTTTAATAAGGAATATAATAGTTTGAGTGAGCAAGCTAAGTTTTGCAGTTGTATTTCTCCTTTTGGAGAGAACACTCTGGCAGGTTAGTATTATGCCTGAGTAAAGCGTTTAGGTTACGTCTCTGAAATCAGGGTTCTTTAAGGCCAGATTCCCTGGAACTTCTCTATGAATTCCTCTGCTAAACTGCTCTTCTCATAAGGACACCAGCACCCTTGTCTTTTCTCTATTTGAAATAAAACAAAAAACTATTCTTAAGTAAGTGTTATGTTCTCAGGTTTGTCTCCCTCTAATTTCCTCCTGATTGTCCTTTGCTTGGACAAATGGAACAACAAAACAATAAATATGTTCCCCCAAATTATTTGATACTTTAAGTATTTGAAGCTCAATGGCATTTCTCTTTTAGTTTTCTCTTTTCCAGGCTCAATACCTACAGCTCTTTTATCCTTTTATCATGTTAAGTTTCTAGGTCCTTTTACCCTCCTGGCTGCATTTCTTGGGCATTCTCTGGTTGATTATTGCCTGTCTTAAATTGAGTGCCCCAGATTGAACATTGTGTTCCAGATGTGGTCTGGCCAGTCCAGGGTGCAATGGAGATGCTTGCTTACCATGTTATAGAGATTACATTTCTTTGAATATTCATGCAGACTCATATTAGTTTTCTTTAAACATTCACATCACATTTTTGGCTTATGAGTTTTTGGTCAAGTTAAATTTTCAGATCTTTTCATTTGATCTTAGACTTTTGTGTTTTAACCACTGCCAAGTCAGGTCTTTCTTTCCATTCAGAACTTGATTGTATTTCATCTAAATGAAGGACTGTATATTCATGTATCCTAGTTAAATTTAATTTTGCTGATTTTGGCCCAGTTGGCCTTAATTCTGACATTTGTCCTATGAGGTTTCCATGATCCAGGCTTTGTGTTTTCTCCAAGGTCATTCTTATGTCTAAATCTAAGTCATTGATAAAAATGCTTACCTAGGGCAGTGTGCCACCCTGCTAGAGGCCTCTAGCAAGGGATTTGTCTATTAATCAAGAGCAGAAACTGCTTTTCAAATACCAGTGGACCCTAATAGCCATACCATCAAGCTGCATTGTAAAATCTTAACTTTAAAATCTCAAATTATCTATGTAATGTCCTCATATCTCAGCAAAAGCAGGTAGCAAGTTACTTTTTTTTTTTAATAAGAAAAGCCAATTATATTCTATTTAGTTCTCTTTAGGAAAATGGCAATGGTTGAATATGCCAGTTTTATTTAACCTTTGAACTACATATTTAACAAAGGCACAATGTCAGCGAAACTACTTCGGCTTAGAAACATTCATAAAGTCGCACTGCTTTCTTAGTGGAGATCCACTATTTTCTGAAACTATCAGATGCTCACTTGAAATTCATTGAACTGTTTTGAATACAGTACCCTATTCTACTGCCTGAAAACCTCTTCAAAAGTTCAAATAACTGAGATGACCTTAACTCGACTATTTATTCCTCCCTCTGTTATTGGTGGGGTGTCCTCTGTATCCTCACCTATTGCTGATAAAAGTGGGATTCTTGGCGTATTATGGAAATGCGAATTTCCTGAAGCCCCCACAGGAGGATGAGGTATCGTGGAAAGCTTTATTGATGAGGTGACATTAAGGGAGTTCCCTTCCAGCGTCCCTGACCGGGCATTGAACGGTTAACCTCTTGGTTCATGGGTTGATGCTTAACCACTGAGCCACACTGGCTAAACATACTATTTCTTTTTGTTACAGCCACAAAACTCACCTATTAGTGCTGCTGATGCAAGTAAAATGTTCTAAGAAAGTAGCCAGATGGTAGAAGAATTGGATAAGTTAACAAGTGGAATTTGACAGTCTTCCAGACCCAAGACATGCTAGCACTGTTTGAAAATAAGAAAACAGGGTTCAGGCAATGCTTTCAGGGAGTGACCCTCTAAAACAAAAGTTGCTTATCAAGTCAGGTAACAAATGAGAAGTGATAGCTCTCATGTCAGTCAAGATGGGCACAGGAAACACGGCTACAGACATACTTTAGGGGACAAGCCAGGAGCACATACACAGGATTCTACATGAAGGTCTTAACATCTTCAGGAGACCAGGGCTCCCCTGGTCCTTTGGCACAGCCATTTCATTTATTTTTATTTCACTCGGTTATAAATGCTTGGCTTTATATAGATTTGAGCCTGAAAGGCTCAATATTCCAGGGCAGCAGCTGATTTTGTCATTGATTCTAGTGAACTTCCCCCAGGAGGACAGCAGGGCCCAGACTGTGGTTAACACAGCGCCCCAGCCCCCAGGTGTAGTTTGCCTAAACTACTGGAAATTTAATGATATATGTAGTTATTTCCAGTATTATGACTGTTATGAAGCTTTTTAAAATTTGTTTTTAATTTTAAGTGTTAAATTTTTATTTATTGATTTTAGAGGAAGGGAGCAAGAGAGAGAAACATCAATTTATTTTGTCTTTTTAAATTGATTTTAGAGAGGTGGCAGAGAGAGAGAATTTGTTGTTCCTCTTTTTTATGCATGTATTGGCTTTTTTCTTGCATGTGCCTTGACTGGGGATCAAACCTGTAACCTTGATGTGTTGGGATGACATTCTAAACAACTGAGCTACCTGGCTAGGGCTGAAGCTTTTGTTAAAATAAACAAATTGCCCTGCTTATCTTCCAGTTAGTTAAATGAAAACTATTGGACCTAGTGTTTTTCATTAATACCTTAAAGGTGCTAACTGAGATTAGTATGAGATGTTTCAAGGAACTCAGATAATTAAGTACCTTCCTTACTGACTCTCATGCTATTTGCAGTTAATGATCCTCCAGCTAAGTGCAAAAAAGAAAAAAACCCTTGCCTTGCATTATGTTTTTTTTTTAACCCTCACCTGAGGATATATTCCCACTAATTTTTAAAGAGAGGAAGAAGGAGGGAGGGGAAGAGAGAAAGCAGCATTGATGTGAGAGAAACATCAGTTGGCAGTTGCTCCCTGACTGGGGCTCAAACCTGCAACCTTTTGGTGTGTGGGATGGTGCTCCAACCAACTGAGCCACCCAGCCAGGGCAGCCTTGCATTAGATTTTAACAGAACAAACCTCTCAGATTGACTGTAGTGCAATCTTTTCGGTGAGTAAAGGACTTACTGCCGAACAACTGCATGGGTATCCTTTTGTTATTTTTTAAATTTATTTTTATTTTTTAGCTCTATAGCCAGCATGTAGCTACTGACTTTCCTTCTCCTTTCTGAGACAGAGGAGAGATTGAGAACCACTGAACATTAGGATTATAACCTACACAAAATTCCTTAATGACATCTTTCAGTTAGCTATTCCCCTAGCAGTGGTTTTTTGCCTCTGCCTTTCCTCTTGTTGGGAGGTGCTTAGCTGTTATATGATTAATATTTTCTCTTTTATTAAATAACCACTTTGCAGTTATCATCAAATTTATATCACAATTTATATCCCTATTCTCAAAGTTCATTTTAAATAAAACATAGAATTGGAAACATCTAGATTTTTATCAGCATTTATCTTTATTCAATTCTAATGTAGTTTACAAAGGGTTTAGTGGAGATTCAAAGTGATGTTTAATTTTACAAAGTTATTGGTTTCTTAAAACCTTGGATTAGCCTAGATAGGCATCTACTGACTGATGAAAGTTAATTATTGCTGTGAAATAAAGATAGCAAAAAGATCCTTCTTAATAAAATAAACTTAAAATGAATTGGTAGATTTCATGTCTTTTTTCTCTCTAGAGAATTCAAATAGTAGAAATTAATGGGGTGATCACTTACAAGGTACAAAATTGTCAAATCACTATACTGTATACTCAAAACTAATTAACTAACATAATATTGTATATCAACTATATTTAAATAGAAAAAAACTTCAAATAGGACTGTTACTCTAAACAAATTTCTCTTTTTTTATGTTCTCTTATTTAAGCTGACATTTTCTCATTTTGTCTCATGTTACATGTTAAGTATCCTAGTGAACCAGGATCACTTAGAAAACACTAGTGCATTATGTTTATTTTTATTCTTTTTCTCCCTCTAAGACTCAATGATGAGGCACGGCGGCTCATTGCTGAATTGGGGAGCACATCTATTACCAGTCTTGGTTTTAGAGACAACTGGGTCTTCTGCGGTGGTAAAGGCATTAAGACAAAAAGTCCTTTTGAACAGGTTAGTGTCTTAGACTTTAATGGGCAAAACCAAATTGTGTGAAATTGTATGGAACGTATTTTAATCCCAGTTATTCAAAACTTAGATAAAGCAGACATTTAATATGTTTGTGTATTTTTTATAAGTTCTTGGTAATCAATTATTTTAAGTAACCATGGCACTGTTTTAATTTTTTTTAATATGTTTTTATTGATTTTAGAGAGAAGAAGGGAGAGGGGGAGAGAGATAGAAAATCAACGATGAGAGAGAGTCATTGATCGGCTGCCTCCTGCACAACCCCTACTGGGGATCGAGCCTATAACCCATGTATGTGCCCTGACCAGGGACTGAACCATGACCTCCTGGTTCATAGGTCGATGCTCAACCACCGAGCCACACCAGAGGCAGTACTGTTCTAATTTTAAAACTTAAAACTAATCAAATTCTGCCTGGGAATTTTTTTTCTACATGACAGTGCATTGGCATATGATTTCTTATACTTTAACCCTTTTAGAAAGCCTTGGTTATTAAAGATTTTAATTGTGCTTTTGATATAATCATTTAAGTCTGAAACTACTTTGGAGCTTAGTAAAATGTAAACTTGACTTTTTGACTAACAAGTGATCCTTTAAAAAAATCTGCAGTGTTTAGTTCTTTCAGCGGTTATTTGAAGGTCTGCCATTACATGCCAGGCCCCAAGCGTTGCTTATTTAATATCTTGAACAATAATTTTTTTTAACCCTTACCCAAGGATATGTTTTACTGATTTTAAAGAGAGAGAAAGGGGGAGAAAGGGAGGGAGAAACATCAACATGAGAGGAACATTGATTGGCTGCCATACGTGCCCCGACCGGGTGTCAAACCCGCAACCTCGGTGTATGCCCTGACCAGGAACCTTCTTGGTGTACCGGACAGCGTTCCAGTCAACTGAGTCACCTGGCCGGGGTTTGAACAGTAATTACTATGAGCTTTTTGTTGACATGAGTATTGGTGAAATGAGCGCACTAAAGTATGTTTTTGTAGATAAGCAATCAACAGAAGTTTTTAAAACTGTACTGATTGTGTCCCAACAGCACATAAAGAACAATAAAGACACAAACAAATATGAAGGCTGGCCCGAGGTCGTAGAAATGGAAGGATGCATCCCCCAGAAGCAAGACTAATGTGGAGAAGATTCAAGGACACGCACTGTCACTATTACTGAGAGAGCTACAACAGAGAAACTACATGTACATATTTTAAGAGCATGCATGCAGCCATCTCGGTGTGTGCATGAGCATTCTTTTTTAATATCAGGATTATTTATTGCTAAGGTAAATAGAAATCTTTGTAAATAGTCATCATAATGAGCAAATCACTGAACCATTTCTAAGCACATTTCTGTAATAGTACAGTGTTTAGACTGCTATGGAAATGACATCTTTTAATTCTAAAAGCATACTTGATCAATAACTGAACAGATTGTGAAAAATATATTGATATATACTGATTGTTGTGAAAATCTGTCATGGAGTTATATGGATTTGAGGGAGGAGACTTTGTTTTCTTATATATATATA